GTCACGCGTGTTTCCCATTGGGAGAATAACACCGCGAAGAAACGACGACGAAAACGTCGTCTTCGTGGGCGAAAGGATGTGAGCACGGGTACGGCGATCTCTCTTTGATAACCGCACGCCCTGCTGCGCTCGGGTGGCCCGTTCCATCTCGCCGGCCGACGTCGCCGTATCTTCCGCGGGAGATCGTCAGTTAACACGACGGGAAATTGTTAAGAACCGTATCGTGACACATCGTGTTTCCGCATTTCAAGCCGTATCGGCCATATGTGCCTCTCGGCAAGGATGGGAGAGGGAGAGAAATGGAAAAAGAAAGAGTGGAAGGACGAGAGAGGAGCATCGTGAAAGATCGAGTGAGCGACACGCAGACGGAACATCGGAAGTCGCTTCTCATGGCAGTCGCAGCCGCGCGGCATCTTGCGATTTGCCCGCCGCCGCCGCCGCGCTGTCGCACGGCCGACATGACGCCGCACAGATCGATCCGTCGATCTGTAACGTAAGCTCGAGACTCCGGCGATGCTCCGCGCGATGATCTGAGGCGAGAACTCCGACGTGGCCGGAGTAAACGGCCTCCACACAGGTCCGTTTGCGTCATCACGTATAACTCTCGACGCTCTTTCCTGTGCGCCTCCATTCCGTTTTCTTCTCTGTCTCTCTCGTGCGGAATCCACCGCGCCTGTGGTTGTCTCGCTTCGAGTATAGAGTGTACTCGACGAACGGATCTTGTCGTCGGATGTTATCCCGTTAAATACAGGATTTTAAGCGAGCATCAGCGTCCCTCCTACCGCTCCTTCAAGCTCGTATCATTTTTAAAGTATGCAAAGTATAAAAAGATACGATGGACCTTCAGTCTCTTTTTTTGTAGCTCGATTTCTTTTTTTTTTTTTTTTTGCGTGTCGAGTGGACGTGGAGGTAGTCGGGACTGGATGGAAGAAAAGAATTGCAAGGGAAACAGATCTCTTATGTTTGTCGATGACAATGGAAGGGCGATAATTAGACTTCATTCCTCCTTGTTTCTTGCATATTGAATTATCATTGAAATTAAGTATGCCGACGAGGAAGTATTGTATTATCTTTTTGCCTCTCGATGGCCGTTACCTTCTTAATATTTTTAACCGGTTCTCTTCCCCCCCTCCTTGTTCATCCTTCCTGTTCGGGAACGCGATATAAGTTATCTGTAATCACGTTGCTGTTTAATATTTATTGCTTCTCTGATAAATTGAGATTCTAGGAAATACATAATTTTTTTGTTTTTAAGTGAAAATCGAAAAATATAGCTTGTAAATATATTACAATTTTTTCAATAAATTTTTTTAAATGGGTTTTTATTTCTCTCATTACTGATTTTCAAATCTCAAATTTAATACGTGATTAAGTAAATTTATTCAAATGAATAAAACAAAGTAAATTAAAATACATAAGTTTCAATGTACATAATATATATATTTTATGTATTTTAAATGAATTGGATATTTATAGTTAATAAAATATTCATTAAAAATCGTTATATATAAATTTACAAAGAGATTGTCAATATTTCAGATTCCTGGGAAAAGAATTGGGTTTATTCCGAGCATCCTGGTAAGGAATTCGGAAAATTTGTTTTAAGCTATGGAAAGTTCTGGAACGATCAAGAAAATGATAAAGGTATTTAAAAGGAATACAGATAATTTATTTTGAAATATAAAATTTACTTATATAACGAGTCCATTTTGACAAATTATTTTCAGGTATCCAGACGTCGCAAGACGCAAGGTTTTACGCTCTCAGTAAGAAATTTACTCCATTTAGTAATAAGGATAAAACCCTTGTTATTCAATTTACTGTAAAGCATGAACAGAACATTGACTGCGGAGGTGGATATGTTAAAGTATTTGACTGTTCTCTCGATCAGAAAGATATGCATGGTGAAAGTCCTTATCAGATTATGTTTGGTAAGTTTTCTTATCTCAGAATATATTATTGATAGCAAATAATAAATTAGCCCGAGCCTAAGAGTCACTGGTCATACCAGTGTATGATAAGTGCTATAGGAACTCGGAGAGAAATACTCTTTCATTATGCCCTGTAATAAGTACAATACATATTACAGGTACCAGAAAAGATACATTCATTAAAGAAGCTAATTAGCTTAGATAAAGTTCGTCAAATTATCTTGCTTGTTTTGTGTAAAAGTGACTTCATATCATCAATTTAGAAATTATAACATGCAAAATGATTACATAAAATTTAAATATATATAATATATATTTATTTTTTATTATTTATCGATTTCAACTCAATGATATCCTTATTTCTATGTAGGACCGGATATCTGTGGACCTGGAACCAAAAAGGTTCATGTCATCTTTAGCTACAAAGGAAAGAATCTTCTAATCAACAAAGATATCCGTTGCAAAGATGACATTTACACGCATTTGTACACTCTGATTGTCAAACCTGATAACACCTACCAGGTAAATATGCGCTATGTTCATGTAAAATTATAACCATTGTAAGCTATATAGAAAAATTTAAGATGTAAGTAGTAAGGAAATCAACATGTTGAATTTGTTACTGCTTACGTTATAACGGTCTCTGCTGTGATTAGTCACTTCGCTTCCTGCTTACGTTTTACTGTTTAAATTTTTTTTATATCATAGCCTTAAATATTATCGAGCCTAGAGTCACATGTTCTCACTGATTGCCGTGGAGAATAGGTGCTACAGGATCTCGTAGAACGAAGATTATCTTGCTTGTTAATGTATAGAGGAGGTACCACTCGCTATACGCATCCAGCAAAGATCAACACATCAATAATATAATTAAATGAAAGTTTATCTGATTTGATGACTCTTCAACAAAATTATTTTTCAGGTACTTATTGATAACGAAGAAGTTGAATCTGGCGAATTAGAGGCAGATTGGAGCTTCCTTCCTCCGAAAAAGATTAAGGATCCATCTCAAACCAAGCCCGCTGACTGGGACGACAAACCCAGCATCGACGATCCCAATGATAAGAAGCCTGAAGATTGGGACAAGCCCGAGCACATTCCTGATCCTGAAGCAACTAAACCCGAAGATTGGGATGATGAAATGGACGGCGAATGGGAAGCGCCCATGATCGACAATCCCGATTATAAGGTTTGTATGCTGAAATTGATATGCATTCAGAGGTTTATCGGGTATTTTCCTTATCTGTCATTATTCTTAAAATTTATATAATTTTTCAGGGTGAATGGAAACCAAAACAAATCGACAATCCAAACTACAAGGGACCGTGGATCCATCCTGAGATTGATAATCCCGAATACACGTCCGACCCTGAATTGTACAAACGCGATGAGATCTGCGCTATTGGTTTTGATCTATGGCAAGTTAAATCTGGTACCATTTTCGATAACGTTTTGATCACCGACGACCCGGAAGTCGCGCGCAAATTTGGAGAAGATGTCTGGAAACTCACTTTGGTAAGTACTTATTCATTATTATTAGCTGTTGCTTTTTATTTATTTGTTCAATTATTGATATGTATAATATGATCAACTCATCATAGATCTCTAAATTTTTAACAATAAATGAATTAGAAAATATTTTATCCTGTAAATCGTAGGAAGGTGAGAAGAAGATGAAAGAATCGCAGGACGAGGAGGAAAGGAAACGGCGAGATTTAGAAGCCAAGGAAAACGAAGATAACAAGGATGATGAGGACGATGAAGATGAGGAAGAGCACACTCACTCGGATAATGATGTAAGTATAACGATGCACCTGAATTTACGTTCTATTTTCAGATTTTACGATTAAACTTGCGCATGATGTTCATATTTTCTCTGATTTCTACTGACGAGAAAAAATTGGAATTCCTCGTTTCTGAGTTTAAACATTCCAATAGATTCTTTCGATTTTGTATGATCAATGATGTTAACTGCTTTGTTTCTTGTTTATTTACAGGCGCATGACGAATTGTAAATAAATGTGTCGCGTGTGGACGCAAACAGACTGTATTCCAGGAGCTACGTGGTCGCGACACGCACTAAATTTTCCCACAGGCACAAAATTGTAATCTAAAAACACACAATAGCAAAAGAGCAGGATAATACTCTTGTTACGTCGCCCGTCGTATTGTCCACAAGAACATCACATTGAATTCTGTTTTAAGCTTTTAAACCAAAAATCTCGCCCGGTTTTGCTAGTGTTTTTGGCCTTGGTATCATAGCGCCTAAAACATTTTTAGCCGCTCAAAAAACTTTGTATTCGAGTGAATTTATTGTCTTGAAATATTACACGCTTAGCTCAAGTGATCTACATTTCTGCAAAGTGTGTGCTGGAATACGGAAAGAACAGATATTAGAAAATAGAAGATACAAAAGGAGAAGTGTAGAGAAGAAAGAAACAAGAGAGTCGTCTAGCCCGTGTCCACCATCGGCGCAGCTCCACAAAAGACTCTAAGTTGTTCCGTTTTTGTTTGTCAAGTGTTTTTATATACATTAAAAGGTAATTGAGATGTAATTTAAATAACACGATGCTATATTATATATAATATATACATTATTTCAATTTCCGTACAATGTACGCGTAATTCAGAGGAAAAGAAAATCGCTCCAATTATTAAAAAAAAAGGCAAAACGTAAGAATGATAGATGTGTGCAAATGTGACTGAGTGATTACAATTGGTATGATTATGTATCAGAGGCAATCCAATAATCATGTAATAAAATAAATAAGACTTTTCTAGATGTGCTCAGGCGTTTATTTTCGTGAGGTCTCAAGCGCTCACCTCGATTGAACGCGAAACCCAGTCCTGTTGCTGATCCATTTTCATCATTTGTAGTAATGTGTACGAATCGATTGTGCAAATTGCTTCCAATTACCATTGTATATGTACAGATATGCATATATACGCTATTTTATTGTATCATGTTCGAGTATAATTAATCTTGTAATTCCATTTTTATATCGGAAAATAAACTGACATCATTTTTCTCCGAAATGACTATGTCGTCACTTATGAATTACTTTTTTCTTTTTTGGTATAGCGTGACTTAACAGAATAGATTTATCTTGCGGATTGACGAGCTAATAAAGGGAGATCTGCGATGATATAGTAGATTCATCATTCACACGTTGACATACTTATTGAGCGAATAAAAAAAAGATTTATATTATAAATAAAAAAAAGATTATATAAAGTATGATCGACGTCGAAATGTGTTGTGTGGTTGAGATATTATTTTTTAATATAATTCTCTGAATACGTGCGATATTCGAGTTTATTTTATGAGAACAGCTAGAAAACAAATCATTTTCAACGTCGACTGTACGTACAAATATTTATCTTGCATGATATCTATCTACCTATCTAACTTCAGTCTGCTTCGTACCATCTTAGCGTGGAAATCACAATTAATTAGCGTGTCTTCTCGGCTTTTTCCATATATAAATAATTTTATAAAGAAAAAAAATTTATACACATTGCGTCGAAAGCCAGTCAAGACCTTGCAACGTACCACTAGCATTGGTAACTAACGACGAGCCTTGAATATGCCATATTCTCGCACAACAAAGTTTATGCAAGCCAAGTATATCGACTAATTCCTCCACACTCGCACAGCCAGAAACGTCCTGTAAAAATATGAATTTGCTTGGAACTTACGCAATATCTTGTAAAGTAAATGAATTAGTTAGTGGGCAATTATTAGACAAAGTGATAAAAATTTTTAAATATTAAATTTTTAATGATATGTAAATACATTCGTTGTTTATAAAAATTTAGTAGGACGAATTTATTTAGAGTGGTATCATTAGAAGCTCAATATTTAAAACTTCTGTTATTTATTTTGCCCAATAATATAATTAATTTATCTTATATAAACATTTTAAAGATAGGAACGTTACATTTACCTGTTTATTAGCATATATTAAAAGTAGAGCATCCTTCAGTTCTCGTTCATAAAGTATTTTTGATAATTCCTTTCGTGCTTCTTCGAAGCGAGATCTATCGCTAGCGTCAACCACGAAAATAACAGCTTGCGTGTTATGATAGTAATGCTTCCACAATGGTCGAAACTTTTGATGACCGCTAACATCCCAGAGAGTAAATACGAGATTCATGTACTCCAAACTTTCAACGTTGAAGCCGATAGTGGGAATCGGTGGATTTGGCAGCGTGACGCCTCGCATAGCAGATAAAATACTTGTCTTTCCCGCACCATCCAGTCCAAGGATTACTACGCGCATATCGATCTTTGTTCCAATATGTATTCTGTTATCCTGTTATAAAATAAAGTGAAAACAAATGTGTATTAACTATATTAAAAAGATAAACATTAAACAAAATCATCTAATATTACTGTGAAAAATGTAAAAAAGCCCATCAAAGCTTACATCAGTTATTCGGATGCACAAAAATTCTTTATTTTTTGTGTCAATGTAACAAAACAAATACAATATACGTTTTAACCCTTCAATTCGGATCCTTATCAATATAAAATATAAATCGAAATTATATTTATGTAAATTTTATATTATTATCGTATAATGTAATAATTTTGATAATCATTGGGCTATTCATTACATAGCTAATTTGGCATTTGGATAAAGAAGAACTAATTGTCGGGAATTACCATTGGAATTTGCGTTAATTATATAATTTCGATTTATATTTTATGTTGATAAGGCTCCGAATTGAAGGGTTGAAACGTATATTTTATTTGTTTTGTTACATTCATGCGAAAAATAAAGAATTTTTGTGCATCCGAATAACTGATGTAGACTCTGATGAGCTTTTTTACATTTTTCACTGATAGATTCTTACGAGCCTCATTATATATATTTGTTTAATATTACTGATTATTTCCATTAGAAAAAATTAAAGTATTTAAAATGTTTAGAAAAACAAAGATTAATATATAAGTTTATTATAATTGCTTTATAATATCGCTCTAAGCTAGTTACTCAAAATTAATCCTACAATTGAAAGATAAATTAAGATATTATATAATTAATCCTATATATTTATAATGAAAATTATCTACGAACCCTGCTAAATATAATGGGAATGGAGGATTCAGGACTGAGAAAATCCGGTCCTAATTGCGCATAATGTTGCTGCTGTTGCTCCAACGTCGCCAGCACTTCCTTGACTTTTTCCGAGCTGCTCAGCAACTTCCAGTCTTCGGAATCGAGTATGCTTTCGCATTGGATACATACACCGGCCACTTGCGATCTCGTAGACGTGAGATCTTTCTGTTGTTGCCTCAGTGCGCAAAGTCTACCGCGAGTCTCTGTTTCGATGTACGCCATCGCTGTTTTCTCTTGTTCGGTCAAAACAGCACGTAATTCCTCGAAATGATATCGCACTCTCCTCCTCGCGTCTTCGATCGCCCAGCCTTCCAATTCTTCAATTACTATTTCTAAAAATATAAAAACATAAATTGAGAATAAATGAAACGATACAAATTAGAAATACAAATTAGAGAAACGTTTAAAAATATTGATTCTTGTTAAACAATTTTTACAAAAATTATTTTTTTCACGTTCTTTTTTTTAGTTGCTAACATTAGGTACAATTTTAAAAGAAAAAGATAAAGATAAATACCTATTTTATGTGCGGTATCTCTCATGCTTTCCATAAACTGCGTCATCTTCTGCAATGCCGCGATAATGGACTTCTTAATGTTTTCGGCTTCTTCCTCGATCAATACTGGCTATAATTTAAATTTAAAATATAGGTAAGATATTGAAATATCGGCATATAAAGAAGAAAATTACAGATGATGCTTTTAAGATTTCCATGGATTTTTTCTATATAGGAGCTGCATTTTATGAATTATCTCAGTGTCTAGATGCATTATTAGAATACTAAGATATATAGAGAGACTGCTTCTCATCTTGATCAAGTAAACTACAATGTTCACAAAACATTCTAATAATTGGCATTCTAATAATAAATCTAAACACAGAGATAATCTATACAGCTTCTGTATAATTACAGACGATACTACCTTGTGCGTACTATGTTTGCCATATTCTTTGCATAGGTAGCACATCAAGGAATTGTGACAGCCTTCCTGAGTACAAGTGAATTCGGCCACATCCGCTGTGTGTATTGGGCAGCGAGGCTTCTCGCGTGGCTTCTCTGACAGTGGTACGCGCCTGTGTTTGCCCAGGGTCTTGGCTGAATGTGTGATAGTGTCGCAAGCCTCACAGAGATGTGTGGCACAGACAGTACAGTAAAGAACTGCAGTATGTGCTTCATCCTCGTCGCACGATAGATTCGACTGAAGCCTCTCATGCTCCAACACCAGCGTTTTCTGACTGTTGGATTGCTCTAGTCGTTCAAGCAGCTCGATAAGCGCAAAGTTCTTCTTCAGACTGTAGATGCTGTTCTCGTGAATGGCGGTAGGTTGTCGATCAAAGGGACACAGCAGAAACTGCTGCTCCGACATGCAAGTCCTCAACCGCAGTAAGCACGAGTGACACACTGTGTGTCCACAGTGCAACAAACGTGGCACCTTTACACCGTCCACTGTGAAAACCTCCTCGCAAACTCGACATTCCAGAACCTATCAATATTTAAAATATAATCTTATAAACTTTTGTAATCAAATAAAATATTTAACTAAATCCCTACAATACATATAATTATTATGTTTGTAAATTACAGTGATTCTGAATGACTGTGATCAAATTCCAATTAATTCAATGGATTAATTAAATCATAAAAATAGTCACAGCAAAATTTCTAATAATATAGTTTATTTCAAATTTTCGTAATTATCCAATTAATATGAAAATTAATAATTCTATATCTATCTTAACAAACTACGGGTATCACTCATCAATCGGAGTTTGGTCCAAGTCACTTAATGCATTGTTTTCAAATTTGTGTCTCACATTTGATTTAGGCGCAGTTTTTAGCGAATGCTTCGTGTATTTACTCAGTCGATCCGCGTTCTCATCCATTGCGGAGATCAGTGGAGAATCTGACTGATTTTTCGTTCGTCCGTTCCTCGTCCAAGAAACCCAACTACAGTTTACGCGACAAAGGTTAACAGTAAAATCAGCTCTGGGCGTGAAAGTGCTTAAATTAATTTAAACTTGTTTAAATCATTAAACCAGGGTGAGATCGCGAAATGAGCGTAGCGACGCCGTATCTGTGCGCACGACATTGATGCGAGATGTTTTGCATTCTAATCTAAAATCCAACTTATTTACGGAAATCTTCCTTCGCTAAATCCACCTGTTTTGTCCCTCGTCTCTTTGAGATGTTTCTAGGGAATTTCTGTGGAAAACTGCCATTTAAATTTAGGTCGCCTGCCTCTTTCATGAAAAGCAATCCTCGGATGCTATATTTGTACGTTTTTGTTGCTTAGATTATTATTATTATTATTATTATTATTATTATTATTATTATTATTATTATTATTATTAGCTAACTTACTAAGAACGGCACCTTTTTAAAATAGTTTTGAAGCACATTGATAACGTAATTAATGAAAATTTGCCCTAAAATTCGCTAAGAACAAAAATATGTCCCAAACTAATTAAAAAAGTCTTGTTTTTAACAAGAGTTAGCTAATAATAATTTATCCCTAGAAAATAGAGTTTCCAATTGGTTCTCAACATTTTTCTGAATGGGAGTCAACTGGGATTACGCTTATAATTGAAAATCCGAAACAATTTTCAAATATTTATATGAAAATACGTAGAGAAATAAAAAAAGGAGAGCTTCAGAGATTAATATTTGTATGTAATTTCAATAATGCAAGGATTTTATAAATATCTATATAGCTCTTACGTTACAAATTACAAATCTGCTTAGGTTAATTTCCAAATAGAAATGACAACATGGACAGTGTCAAAGATTCAAAATTCAAACATGCGATGAAAGATGAAGAATCGTGCATCAAAGTTGAATTGAAGTCTGACACCACACGACCCAGTCATCAGGAATTAGTGAAACTAACCAAGGCAACTATAGACAGTCTTGTTGAGCATGAACCGTTACTCTCCGGATTACCTTCCGATGTCACGATAGAAGAACTTAAATCGCAGATCGCAGTTGCGCAAGGACAAGCCATAACTTTATTCTTAAATCGCGGAGAATTGCCAAAGCTCGCGGTGGTGGTAACAATTTGTTATTCGTACATGTTTCGTAATACAAACTTAAATTAATTATTGTTTTTATCGCTTCACTAACATACTCTTCGCTTCATTTCAGGTACCTCCACATAACACAACAGTGCTTGATTTGAAAAAGGCCATTAAAAGATACACAAATTTGTCTTTGAAGAGAGAGAACGTCAAGAAGAAGATAAGTTGGAAACACGTCTGGAAGAAATATCATCTTTGCTTTGGAGATATTAGACTTTCTAATGATAACGAAAATATTAAAGCTTATGGTATTACTAATAAGGTGGAATTACATTTTATAAAGAGACATAGGGAAAAGAATAAATTGATAAAAAGTTAGCAGTGTTTCTATATAAATTATTATTTATATT